TGTCCACCGCGCCCTGCTCCGGCGGTTGGCGCCCTGCTGGGCCACTCGAGGACCCTGGCTGTGCCTGCACTGGACACTCTCCAGCGTTCTGCCCGAGTCACTCTTCTGCCAGAGCGGGGGTGACTCCCTCCTGGCCTGCTCCTGTCATCCCCGTAGTTGCTGTGCTCTTGAGTACCTGGACTTATACTCTGTACTGGGAACAACCTCCCCCTCCCCAGCCTGGCTAATGCCACACTTCAGGTACCACTTCCTCCAGGAAGCCCTCCCTGCCTGATCACCAGTCTGCCTGGTGTCTCTTGTTCTGCTTCTGAGTCCTGGTTGGCCATCTGGCACTCGTCTGCTCCCAGCACTCCCCAATCAAGAGCCGAGGGCTGAGCACAGACCACAGCAGCCCGAGAGCTGGGCAAAGGCAGGCGCTCAGGCTGTGGGATGGGTGTGCACGCGAACGGACGAGGGCCTGCAACAGGCTCCACGCAAGCTCCGGCTGGGTGCTGGAGGGCACGTGTCAGAGCCCGACCCCGGGCACTGCGTGGTGGCTCTGCAGGGAGCTCCGGGCAAGCTCCGGCTGGGTGCTGGAGGGCTCGTGTCTGAGCCCGACCCCGGGCACTGCGTGGTGGCTCTGCAGGGAGCTCCGGGCAAGCTCCGGCTGGGTGCTGGAGGGCTCGTGTCTGAGCCCGACCCCGGGCACTGCGTGGTGGCTCTGCAGGGAGCTCCGTGCTCACCTCCCCAGTGCTTTTCTACGGCAAGGACCAGGACCGGCCTTGTCTTTAAAAGTGGGGAGGCGGGCCTGGGAGGGGAGGGTCACGTGACCCTGGCAAGAGCTGGCGGCCTTTATGGTCAATGACAAGCCTGACGTTTCACACAGGGGACAAAGGGTGGTCCCTCAACAGCTCCAGGGCACTGTGGTCTTGGGGAAGAGACAGCTGGGGTAGGCCCCAGCATGATGATGCCTGTCCCCTGCTCTAAAGTGCAGGCCTGGGCTGAACTGTCCCACAGCCACCCACCTACCCTGTCCCCCTTGAGGTTGGCTGAGCTGGTCTCCTAGCAGATGGGGGCTGACGGCAGTGAGGACAGCGGGGATGGCTATGCCATCGAAGTGGACGCTCAGCTGGAGCAGAGGCTGCACCTCTGGCAGCCTCCCACCCCTGGGTGCCGGGAGCTGACTTTGCACTCCTGGGCTCTCCAGGCCTGTCCCTCTCACCCGGATAAACTCATTTGTCTTGAGCAGAACGTAGTGGGACGTGGGGGACCTGCATCCTGACCCCTTCTGCCCTGACCACGCAGCAGGGCTGCCCCCCCGTGCACAGGGAGGAGTGGGTCACCGCTCTCTGGCCCGGGGCAGCAGCTCGGAGCCCCATACCACTTCAGGCCAGTGGACCCCGGCCTCTCCCAGATGGGAGAGA